TTCCTATACACCAACAACAAGACAGAAGAAAGGGAAATTAAGGAGTCGATCCCATTTACAATTGCACCCAAAACCATAAGATACCTAGGAACAAATCTAACCTAAGACACAAAGAATCTGTACTCAGAAAACTATAGAATACTCATGAAAGAAATTGAGGAAGACACAAAGAAATGGAAACACATTCCATGCTCATGGATTGGAAGAAAAATATTGTGAAAATGTCTATGCTACCTAGAGCAATCTACACATTCAATGCAATCCCTATCAAAAAACGATCAACTTTTTCAACAAGAAATAGACAAATAATCCTAAAATTTGTATGGAACTAGAAAAGACCCTGAATAGCCAGAGGAATGTTGAAAAAGAAAAGCAAAACTGGTGGCATCAGAATTCCAGTCTTCAAGCACTATTACAAAGCTGTAATCATCAATACAGTGTGGTAATGGCAGAAAACAGACACATAGATCAGTGGAACAGAATATAGAGCCCAGAAATGGACCGTCAACTCTATGGTCAACTAATCTTCAACAAAGCAGGAAAGAATGTCCAATGGAAAAAAGACGGTCTCTTCAACAAATGGTGTTGGGAAAACTGGACAGCCACATACAGAAGAATGAAACTGGACCATTTCCTTACACGACACACAAAAATAGACTCCAAATGGATGAAAGACCTAAATGTGAGACAGGAGTCCATCAAAATCCTATTGGAGAACGCAGGCAGCAACCTTTTCGATGTCAGCCGCAGCAACTTCTTCCTAGACACATCGCCAAAGGCAAGGGAAGCAAGGGCAAAAATGAACTATTGGGACTTTATCAAGATAAAAAGCTTTTGCAAAGCAAAGAAACAGTCAACAAAACCAAAAGACAACTGGCAGATGGGAGAAGATATTTGCAAATGACATATCAGATAAAGGGCTAGTATCCAAAATCTATAAAGAACTTGTCAAACTCAACACCCAAAGAACAAATAATCCAATCAAGAAATGGGCAGAAGACATGAACAGACATTTTTCCAAAGAAGACATCCAAATGGCCAACAGACACATCAAAGTGTTCAACATCACTCGGCATTAAGGAAATACAAAGCAAAACCTCAATGAGATACCACCTCACACCAGTCAGAATGGCAAAAATTAACTATTCAGGAAATGACAGATGTTGGCAAGGATGCGGAGAAAGGGGAACCCTCCTACACTGTTGGTGGGAATGCAAGCTGGTGCAGCCACTCTGGAAAACAGCATGGAGGTTCCTCAAAAAGTTGAAAATAGAGCTACCATATGATCCAGCAATTGTACTACTGGGTATTTACCCCAAAGATACAAATGTAGTGATCTGAGGGGTACATGCACCCCAATGTTTATAGCAGCAATGTCCACAATAGCCAAACTATGGAAAGAGCCAAGATGTCTACCAACAGATGAATGGATAAAGAAGATGTGGTGTATATATATATACACACAACACACACACACACACACACACACACAGGAATATTATGCAGCCATCAAAAAAACGAAATCTTGCCATTTGCAACGACATGGATGAAATTTGAGGGTATTATGCCAAGCAAAATAAGTCAATCAGAGAAAGACAAATATCATATGATCTCACTGATATGAGGAATTTAGAAACAAGACAGGATCATAGGGGAAGGGAGGGAAAAATGAAACAAGATGAAACCAGAGAGGGAGACAAACCATAACAGACTCTTAATCTCAGGAAACAAACAGGGTTGCTGGAGTGGTGGAGGGTGGGAGGGATGGGGTGGCTGGGTGATGGACATTGGGAAGGGTATGTGCTTATGTTGAGTGCTGTGAATTATGTAAGACTGATGAATCACAGACCTGTACCTCTGAAACAAATAATACAGTACATGTTTAAAAAAAAAAAAGATAGTAGGAAGGGAAAAATGAAGGGGGGACATCAGAGAGGGAGATGAACCATGAGAGACTATGGACTCTGAGAACAGACTGAGGGTTTTAGAGCGGAGGGGGTTGTGGGATGGGTTAGCCCAGTGATGGGTATTAAGGAGGGCACGTATTGCATGGAGCACTGGGTGTTATACGCAAACAAGGAATCATGGAACACTATATCAAAACCTAATGATGTAACGTACGGTGACTAACATAATAGAATTAAAAAAAGAAAGAAAGAAATGTATGCATACATAGCAAATTCTTCATTTAACTCCACAGATTTTCACATCCACCTAAAGCTTATTCAAGGGTCCCAGGTTAAGAACCACTTAACCACCAGGTTAAGAATTACCTATCTTTATGTCATATTCCCATTAGTTACGGAGAGATGGCAAGGGATGAAGGAACGTCGGGGAGTTATTTGAATTATTCCACCTAAAAACATAGTAAAAGTTTTGTGGAACAGTGTCCAACTCAAAAAGTGTTCATTGAGAGCTGATTCCATGTCTGCCACTGAGCAAAATTTAGAAATACTATTTGACATGATATCACCCCATAGATTACTTAATTGCAAAGGGGAAAATACACCTTTACAACACAGCTGCCTGTTAGCACCTTAATCAAATGATCAAACGTATCAGTAACAGTGAGATAAACCTGGACATTACACAGTATGACCTGAGTAAGAAGTAGCCTTGCAAAATATGTTTAATGTAAACTACTCAAGCCTCCAGGAACTTGCAGTTTATAGGAGATACAAGGTTTAGAAGCAAAAATGAATACAATCAGACAACTCAGAAATATGATATTCTTCAGGACAACTGGCTTTGTTTCTTAAAAAAAAAAAAATCAAAATTATTGGGGGGCATGTGAGTAGAGATGAGATTAAAAGTTTGTGGTTAAAAGAGACCAAAGAAAGTTAAAACCCAACTGCAATATGTAATTATTGATAGGATCCTGGTTCAAAAACAAACTACATACAAAACGCATTTAGGGGACTACTGGGGAAATATAAATATTAACTGGATATTAAATGATATTAGAGAATAATAGTTCATTTTCTCAGGTGTGATAAAAGTTTTGTAGTTACATAGGGCAATGTCCTCACAGGAGATGTACTGCTAAAGTATTTAGAAGTGAAGTATCTTAATGTTTCAACTTAGGGTTCTGACGAAAACAAAATGACACCAAACACATACTCACATAAATAAAACAAATAAGACAATAACAATTATTTTTTTCCCTATGTTCGTCTGTTTCGTTTCTTAAATTCCACATATGAGTGGGCAATAACAATTTTTAAATCTAGGTGATGGGCATAACGGTGATTTTGTATTTTTTGTTCATCTTCATTGTGCTTGAAATGTTCAGAATAAGAAACTGAAAAAATTAGAGGTGCATTAGTCAAATCCTACCCATCTTTTTTTTCCCCCGGCTAAATCCTACCCATCTTTAACAGTCCACTTTGTGTTTTACCCACCTCTTTGAAGGCTTTCTTAATGATTCCAGGACAAACTGTGTTCTCCATTTTCCGAGTTACCCTGGTACTTTAACTTTGAATTTAGCACATAATTAACATTCTGCCTTGTGCCCAGTCTCAATAAATACATCATAAATCCTCAGAAGACAAAGTGGAAAGGTTCCTGTAGGAGACTACAGTAACAGGATATAGGAATTAAAAAGCTAAATTAGAATGAGATTATGGCTGGCCTTCACCAGGCAAAAAAAGATTATTTAGCAAGTTAACAAGATTTACTGGTGAGTGATGAGAGCCTAAACTAGGTCGGTAGTAATAAAAATGAAAAGTCCTGGGGCACCTGGGTGGCTCAGTGGTTTAAGGTTAAGCGGATACCTTAGGCCCGGGTCATGACCCTGGGTCCTGGGATTGAGCCCCCCATCAGGCTCCTTGCTTGGCTGGGAACCTGCTTCTCCCTCTCCTTCTGCCTGCCGCTCTTCCTGCATGTGCTGTCAAAAAAATAAATAAAATCTTAAAAAAAAAAAAAGAGAGGGGCACCTGGGTGGCTCAGATGGTTAAGCATCTGCCTTCAGCTCAGGTCATGATCCCAGGGTCCTGGGATCAAGCCCCGCATCCGGCTCCTGGCTCAGCGGGGAGCCTGCTTCTCCCTCTCCCTCTGCCTCTCCTCTGCTCATGCTCTCTCCCTGTATCTCTGTGTCTCAAATGAATAAATAAAATCTTACAAAAAAAAAAAGAGAGAGAGAGAGAACTAAAAGTCCTGGGAATTACGGGGTACATTTACACTCCCGTTGCATTGGGGCTCTTACTAGCTTTCGCAAAAAGCTATCCAAACTTGTACAGCTTTATAAAACCCCCAGCACCGTAACATTATAGCTTCCGTCTCCGAACTCAGGGTCTAACTGGAAGAGAGTGACTTTAAGGAGTTTCTTCAGGCGGACATTCACTTCCAACATTCATTCGCTGAACCAGGAGCTTTAGATAAGATCATCGTATTTCCAAGGACACTGCACATCCACACGCGTGGGTGGTAATAAACAGCCTTGGGAATATTAGTGAAGGTCAACTTTATCTAGGTGAGTCAACCTCTCTGCTTTTTTAAGCACAGTATGTCCTTCGGCCTTTGGACCAAGGCTCAAGGCTGACATCCAGGAAGGTGTCTCTCCGCCAGGAGGAGGCGCAGACCGCGCAGAGGTCCCTGGCCGCGCCCTCTCACCCAGATTCCGGGCTGGCCCCGCGCCCACCGCTCCCCCGCCCTCGACGTCTGCCCGGCTCCAGCCAAGGAACGTGACTCCGGGATCCCTCTCCGCACGGCCCTCCGCTTCCCACCGAGAAGTCGCGTCGTCTGAACTCACGGCGCCAGGGAAACGAAGCCTCTTTGTGGGCCACCCCTCGGGACCCGTTAGGCCCCAGGAGATCGTTAGACACCCCTCCCCCACCCGCCCAAGGTCGTACGGACGCTGCAGGAGCGTCCCGCTGCATTGCGCACGCACCTTCCCCCCACCCCCCGCCTCCCCGCCTCCCCGCCTCCCCGCCTCCTCGCCTCCTTTTCCCCTATTGGCCCCCTTTCGGCGCAACCGCTCCCCTCCCTCCCCACCCAAATCTACGCCGGTGGGCGGGACCAGGGTGTGGGCGGGGCGAGTCGGATCTAGCGCCTCGGGCCGGGAGAACTCTGGCCTTCTTGGCGCTGCGCTGTGACTTAGGAGCTGTGGACCTGGCCCGCGAGTCAACATGGCCGCGGTGTTTAGGCGTAGCTGCGGGGTGAGAGAGAGCAAGGCTCGGTGGGGGCGGGAAATGGAGGTTGTGATGTTTGGCGGAGTGGGAGAGAGGGAAGCATGGGATGAAAATAGGTGCTGTCCTGGGGTATTGGGAGGGGGACTCCCCCGTACCAATGTAGGCGGCAGTCACTTTCAGAATGTCCTTTTTTATTCCCTCCCTCTGGCCCGGGAACTTTCCAGATATTTTCTCCAGGAATCTCACCGTTTCCCGAACGCGAACCTGTCTCTGAATTGCGCGGGCATCTCAGAACGAGCAAAGGCCTTGTTTTTGCAGTATGTTTTTGAGAAAACTACTGGCTTTCTATCTCCAGCCCATGAAAAAAATCATCAAGTAAATTTCATCGTGCAATTGATACAGGCCAGAAAGTGTAGATTTCAGACAGCCTTATCTTGGGCGCCTGCAAAGTTACCGGGAAAAGGAAAATGAAGCAGCTGCTTCTTGGAATGCTTAATATGTTTAATACGCTTTTGGTTTTTGGACTATGGAGGAGACCGCTTATGTTCTGTACATTAGGAAGTAAAAAGAACCTACCGCAGAATTTTGCTCCAAGCTGTCTATACTAGACAGCTGTCCATACTCACAGGTTCTAACTTGTCTCACTCACTTAGATGCTCTTTATCTGAAATATTATTGGTATATTAACACAAGACTGCCATTTAAATGTCATTTATAATTAATAAATTAATGTTCTTGGCCCAAAAAGAGTAGAAGTTTTAGAATTTATAAGAATTCTAATGGATTGTTGCCCAATATTTGTTATTGCTCTACAAGTTAAGGGGCCCTGGGGGCGCCTGGGTGGTTCAGTCGTTAAGCGTCTGCCTTCGGCTCAGGTCATGATCCGAAGGTCGTGGGATCGAGCCCCGCATGGGTCTCCCTGCTCCGTGGGGAAACCTGCTTCTCCCCCTCCCACTCCCCCTGCTTGTGTTTCCTCTCTCGCTGTGTCTCTGTCAAATAAATAAAATCTTTAAAACAAAACAAAACAAAAACAAGGGGCCCTGAAGGCAGAAATCGGGGGTTTTAAAAATGAATTTTAACTCTGCAACCAGGAAAACAAAATGACCGATTTCTCAGTCTCTCCAAGGAAAAATATAGAAAAACCTAATCCAGAAAACTTACACCTCCATCTCTTCTTTGACACTCCCATAAAATTTAAGATTCTTCTATTCCTAAGAAATACACAAAAGCATTTAATTATAGTTGTGCTATTATTGCAGAATTGAGGCTTGATTGAAGATGCTGTCTTTAGGAGATTTGGAATTGGATTGTTCTGGGCAGAGAGCCCCAAGTAATAAAATCAATATTTATATGGCATGCGTCCAAGACTCTTAATCACCTCAACAAATTATCCAGTAAGAAAAGCCTCTTTCTAGGTTTGAAAAGAAGCTACAGGAAGTTTGTAATTGGCGCAAAGTCTGAAAAATACTTGTGGAGTCTAGACTTAAACCATTCTAAATCCAAATAATCTATTTCTATTTTCTGTGTCTACTGAGCCACCTCTCTAAATGGCTAATATTATATATCATTAGCAGATCGATGGGATTGTTCCCTGACTAGCTACTTTTGTATTTTGTTTAACATTTTCCTGAAAAATAATATGTAAACTTTTGTAAATTATTTTAAATCCACTAATAATTCCCTATTTAAAGTCTCGGCAGACTCTTACCTGTCTTATGAGGTCTGATTTTTGTGCACTGGTGTCTAAACACATTTAGAAGAGCCAAGTTTTTTTGGTCTGATTTTTGTGGGATGTTTTTCTTTATTGAATGTAAAAACCAATTAGGAGACTTAAATTGAAAGAGCAGTATATAGCAAGGTGGTTGATGGTATGAATTCTCTATAGTAAATGTTATTATCCTGGTTCCACTACCTAATAGAGTGTCCTTGGCCAATTTCACTTGACCTTTCTGAGCCTGTTTCTTCATATGCAAAATAGGAATAAAAGTAGTGCCTTAATCCTAGGCTTGACTTGGAGATTCAGTGAATTAATATGTGGAATTTGACTGTAAACAAGTATAGATTTGGTCTATGATGACTGAACAATAAAGATTAGAGAAACCATGTTTTACTTCAAAAATTAATGAAAATTGCAAAGAAAATATGAGTTTTATACTCTAGTTTTTTTTTTCAGAATTGTATAAAGTATTATTTTGAAAGAGCTTTTTGGATACTTGACAATCTTTATTGTCACTTTAAATGTAGGTGGTTATAAAGTTGTCATCCACAAAATGGACAGCTTCTTTTTACAGTTTTCAAAAAACATAAGCAAGTTTGGTTCTTGATCTTCTAGTATATTGTTCAGTTTCTCTTTTCTTTGGAATATTAGAATTGCATAGAGATATTTGCATCAAATCCTTTGAAGTATAAACTGATTTTGCTGTCCTCAAACATAGGAAGGAGTTACAGTATGGTTTCCATTAACTTTAATAAACGCAAATGGTTACTTTTGTATACATTAAATTGTCATGAGTATAAAAATGGATTGCAAAGGAACAATATATGTATATCTGATTATACTTTTTAAAGAAATAGTATATTGCAGATATTAAGAAATGTAGCATATCAGTAGTTTAGAATAGGGTTGGCAAACTTTTTTGTTAAAGGGACAGTAAATATTTTCAGCTTTGTGGACCACATGGTTTCTGGCAACTGTACAACTCTGCTGGAAAAGCAGCAATAGACTGTATGGTGGTCAATAAAATTTTATCTACAAAACTGGTGGCTGCCATAGTGTGCTCACCACTGTTGTAGAATATTCTAAGAATGCCTATAGACTACAGCAGAAAATATAGAACATAGTTTTAGGCTAATTTGTTTTGTTAAATAAAGTGAGGTATCTTAGAAAATGGAATCCTCCAAGGGGAAGATTCCCAGAAGCATACCTCTGAGGCTCACAGGAACAGGGTATCAAAGTTGGTAGACTAGGGAACTCTTGAACACAGTGTTATACTGTCCTATTTTTGCCCCCACCCCAACTTCTCAATCACAAATGTCCTAAAGCTTGTAGGTGAGATTTCCAGAATAGCAGCCCTAAGTCTGCTACTACCCCTGACTATTGTTTGTCTCGGAGACACTCCACTTCAGTAGTACAAATACTGCTGATTGTGTTATTTTCATTGCTTTAAAAAAAAAATTCTCTTCGTAATAAATGTTCATACATCTAGTACTTGGCTTATTTAATATAGAAATTAAATTACAGTTGAAGGTATTTAAGTAATGCTTAAAAAACTATGCTCTTGAGTATAGTCAAACAAGGTGCTGTACTCACTTGTAATTGCCAGTATTCTCTTATTTGATGTTTAATTTATCAAATTTATTTTAATAAAATTGTCCTTTACAGGTCCTAAAAAGTCTTTCTCGTTTTGACTGGAGATCACAACATACAAAAGCTGCCCTACAGCGTGAACCAAGATTGGGATTTAATTTTGGTATATGTTTTGTTCTGTGTTTTGACTTTAAACATATTTGTTATACACATGCATTTATATTGCATTATATATGTATTTGTCTGGAATATATTTGTAAATCATCTTAGTACTATGTCTGTCAGTGGATAGAACCAATTACCATCCACAGATTTCCTGTCACACCCATTCTTCCTGATCTCTTTTTTCCAGCATAATATCCTATGTAGAGGTCTGTGTTAGCAGCAGACATAAATATCTGTGCCCTTTTTCCTAAGTATGTAACCCTAAAATAAATAATGAATTTACTGATATATACAGTTTTCAAGTTAGAAATTTGAATGCAAAAAATATGTTTTGAACACTTAGATACATAGCGCTAGGTACCTGCTAATAAGCCAAAGCCTGTTTTGACCTTAATATATCTGAATTGCAGTTTTGGTGCTAATGGATAGGGTTTAAAGTCCTGGGATCAGGGAGTCATGTGGTATTGGAAGGAAAAGGAATAAGATCTCTTTTTCCCTTTGCTCTCTAAAATGAAGATCCTGAGCAAAGAAAAAAAAATTGAAATAATAATCCCTATTTTTAGCATCGATCACCTCCTAAAGTGCTTCTTGCTTCAAAATTACTACCTTTCCTTTAGTTAAAAATCCATTTTCTCTGGTTTCTTGGTCTCAGAAAATAGTTACAAGGCAGCTCAGATAACAAACTCATACCCAGATAAAAATGACAAACTCAGAGCTTTCTATAGTTTTTTAAAAACAATTAAATGGAAAATTTCAGGCCACGTGAGGATAGCATTGGGGTGTTGGATTTTCTTTTATTGTGTGATTAACATAGGTTAGGTATAATTGCTCTTTAGTTTCAGTTTGTCACATAGAGATTGGTATTTAGTAGTAAGTAACCAGCAGGAGAAATGGTTTGTGAATAACAGGATGAGATAGATACAAGTGTTCTAAGAGGAAGGAGGGAGGTTGTAAGGCTTAAGTAAAGGACTAGGGATAACGTCTGTGGGCAGTTGTATCTGGCTCTTTCTAAAGTGGAGATAATACCTACAACACGGAATTTATCTGAAGATTAATATACGATATACAGAAAGTTCCTAATACACAGTGACTGGACTTAGGTAGGTTCTCAATGAATAATTCAAACTAGGTCCCTGCCTTCCCTGTCCTTTACTCACCCATGACTTTGGTATCTGCTGGTCCCAATATTAGAAGTAAATTGTGATGTAGAGAACAGTGACCGAAACTCTAAGTATACTTTTACTTCTAATTCATTGTAAGACTGAGGCTATCGTGTCCTCATTTTGAGCTTTTGTTTACCTATAAAATGAGAGATTCGATTTTAGGCTGTTTGATCCAACACCAAATTCTCACGTCTTTTACGTTTTATTTCTTACATCCCTATACAAATGATTATTATAGTTTTGAGTATGCTTGCTCATTCTTACTCTTTGCTTTTGTTCTTATTGTTCTTACCCAAAATACCCTATATTTCTTTTAAATCTTATCTATCCTTTGATGTTGGACACAACCACATTAAAACCCAATGATAGTGTGGATTTGAAAAAATCCAAGTGATCGGCTCCTGTCCTCAGTCCAGCCACCATATTCATTTCACTAGTTTTATAACAACAGAACCTTGTATTTTATACAATTGAGTTAGAGTTTTATGTTACTGTTAACTTTTGAGAAACCCTCCCACCGCTTTACCAGTTCCTTTGTGCTGATTTATAACCTTAAATTATCTGAGTTTAAAGGAAGAGTAAAATTGTAGTATTGGTATTCTTATGTGATACTTTGGAATAAATTTTATTGGTTTTTGGTCACTGAGCATGTCTCATCTTCCTAGTTAGACTGATTCTTGAGATCAGGAAGTGTCTTATTTTTAGTTTCATTTCAGTATTACTAAACATTTGATAAATCTGCTTAGGAACTAATAACAAGTAAAAACAAAATTTTTTTTACTTTCACCAATTGGAAGAGAAAAACAAGTTTATGCCTGTTACTCATTTGTAAAAGCTGGAAATCTTACCTACCTCCTTTGGTACTTGTATTGACATAGGTTTATTTATATTGTACAGTGAAATCTTGCTAGTCCAAAAGTGTATTGTGGTCTTTGTGGTTTATTTGTGGACTTTCTGGATAATCAAGAGTTAAAGACACCATTATAAATTTTCACATACTGATTTCATAGGACTTTTTTTCCTCAGCTCATTATCTTGTTTTAATGTTTTCTAAATGACTTTCTCTTAGAGCTCACTGAACAGCAAAAAGAGTTTCAAGCTACCGCTCGTAAATTTGCCAGGGAGGAAATAATCCCAGTTGCTGCAGAATATGATAAAACTGGCGAGGTAGGTTTATGCATTTTAAAGAGAAAAACGTTTTTTACATCTTTTATAAGATTATATAATTGAACTATGTAGATTTTAATATAATTGGGTTTTTTTTTTTACTTTTTTCTTTCCTTTTAGTACCCTGTCCCCCTAATTAAAAGAGCATGGGAACTTGGTTTAATGAATACACACATTCCAGAGAGTTGTGGTAAGCTTTCTTCACATTTTTAATCCTTACAATGCTTATGAACAGGGAAGATGGTAAAACTATCTACTCAGTCATTCTTTCAGCTGCCATTTCTGTAAGTCATTTATGATAAAGGGCTTTCTACCTTTATCTTTCTGTTCAGACTTTGGTATTTGGCTGTTTTTAGAAACCTTGTATTAGCACTTCAAGGCTTTCCCTTTATAACTCGTTTCAACCTTCATCCTAGACGTTGGTAATTTCTCTTTAGTCAGTTTGTTGCATTTTGGTTCTACCTTAGATTTTACATTTTGTTTAGACTTTTTTTCTGTGAGATTGTCACTCCTTCAGGTGAAAGAGTCAAAGTTTTAGCACAGTTGAAACAAATTTTTACAAAACCAAGTAGAAACAGGAAGACAGGTCCAGATTACAAATAGAAAAATTTTTTGAAATATTTAAAACTTATTTTAGAGAAGTATAATTTGTTACTGTGCTAACCAGAACACTTTTTAGTTTGTTAATTAAAATAGCTCAGCTTTATTTCTAACGAGATATACTACATATTATAATGGGTCTTAAAATATTTTGATACTATAGGAGGTCTTGGACTTGGAACTTTTGATGCTTGTTTAATTACTGAAGAACTGGCTTATGGATGTACAGGGGTTCAGACTGCTATTGAAGCAAATTCTTTGGGGGTAAGTTTCTTAGAAAATTAATTGCCTAAGTGAACCGTTAATGAGACAGTACTGCTAGGTTACGTTAGTTGGTACAACACAATTTTCTTTAAAAGGAACAGAAGAGGGGCACCTGGGTGGCTCAGTTGTTAAGCGTCTGCCTTCAGCTCAGGTCATGATCCCAACGTCCTGGGATCAAGCCCCACATCGGGCTCCCTGCTCTGCAGGAAGCCTGCTTCTTCCTCTCCCACTCCCCCTGCTTGTGTTCCCTCTCTCGCTGTGTCTCTCTGTCAAATAAATAAGTAAAATCTTTTTTAAAAAGATAAATAAAAGGAACACAAGATTCTGCAGTGAAGACTTGAGTTCTTATTGCCTAAGTTGATCATTCTGTCCCTGTTGTCTCCAGTAATTGGAGTCCTAGCTGTCCTTGTAGGGAAACTGTATACTTTGCTGCCTCAGTGGCAATTCTTAGGTAAGGGCAAGGCCAAAAACAAGCATTCAGGAGAGAAGGATGGCGATGGCTTGCCACACTGCTCGCAGTGAGCAGTTCTTAAGAGGCCTAGTCATACATATCACACCATTTATCCGAAATGTAATTCTTTGTGCATGTTACTACAGTGGATTTTTACATATTACCAACAAGTCCTCATAACTTAGTTTTGGAAAATCCTGGATTCACAGATTTATTTCCTCATGGGTTTAGCTTCCTTAAAGAATAAAGGCCAGTTCTTTGGACTTACCCCTTGGGAGAAAGTAGTTCTCTTGCTTTGAATTATAGTATCTCTGAATGTACATACCTAATAAAAATATCTTGTTTTTTTCAATGTCACTTTTCTTTGGTAGCAAATGCCTCTTCTTATTGCTGGAAATGACCAACAACAAAAGAAGTATTTGAGGAGGCTGACTGAGGAGCCACTGATGTGTGTGAGTATACACAGCTGCTGCTTGGGAACAAGGGTGCTATTTCTTCTTTCCAGTACAAATGTGTACACTGGGCTATAACACATGAAGATAAAAGTTAGTAACATATTTAGGTGTAATGGTGTTTCTGGGGTACCAGGCAAGTGTCACAGTCTCCTATCTTGTTTCCAAGAAAGAAAGATTTGCTATTTAATGGAGCACCCTGCAGTTCCAAGACCTGAGTGATTGTGTCAGGAAGTTCAGATTGAATGTAGGACGGTAGGTGTTTGAACGAGTAGTCTTTTGAACTAACAGGAAATTAATGTGACTGAAAAGTTATCATTCTATTTGTTGAATGAGTGACTTGGGAAGAATATTTATAGATTTTATTATTCCCTGAGCACTACTCAACAAATATTTAAATTGGATTTAAAAAAGATAGTTACAAGGGCCCCCTGCTGGCTCATTCAGTAGAGCAGATGACTCTTCATCTCAGGATCATGAGTACAAGCCTCACATTGGGTGTGGAGCCTGCTTAAAAAAAAAAAAAAGATTTATATATATATACACACCCATACTGAGGATCTATTCTGAAAGTGTTTTTACATAAGGATTTCGACTTCTTTTGTTTATCAGTTGAACAGATTTCAACTTAGGGTGTGATTATGATACCAAAATACAGTAAATTGTTATTTGTTTTGAACTAATTGTGAAAATTGGTCTGAAAGAGTAGAAAGTCATAGTTGAAAATCAAGGTTTCTTATTTCAGGTACCTTATAAAAATAAGGCAAACTGCTTAATAAAAACATTTATACAGATTTCTTAGTTAATTAGTTACTTTTCAACAAATGAGAATTTAGTAGGCTAATTCTCAATATTGTCTAAGAATTGTGTGACACATTTAGATTGTTTTTCTGTAGCACATATAATACTAGAAATAGGCTAAAAAATTTTAGCATAGACATGTTTAGGAGAACCTACCTTAATGCACTGATAAGAATATTTATTATAATTATTGCTTATAAATAGGTATTTCTAAGATAAAAGTCCTTAAAAATAGTTCAGGTATTTTAAACATTTTTTGGCTGTTTGTTTGTTATCAATACCTTCGGTATATATAAAAATAAATTTACTGTAGTCCCTAAGTTATTCTAACTTCTGAATTAATAAAGGTTTTCTATACATTTTCCCCCTGCTAGTGCATAATAGCAGTAAATGTACCCAAAATATGAAGTCAAGGGTGAAAATGAAAATAGTCAATTCCCTTACATACACAGAATTTACATGTTATGGAACTCTGCTACTTTGGAATTACAAATGCTGGGTAACCCTGCATTTATCTCAGTACCATTTGCATATGTTATTCTGCCTGGAATACACATTCCTTCTTTATCCCCAAAGAATTCCTTTTTCTTTTTGAGACTTGATGTGAGCATCACCTTTGGAAAGCTTTTCCTGACACCCTAAAGCTAAACTAGATTCACAAGACCATTGTGTATGACTTTAGTACATAAATACAATATATTTAGTATTCATCTCCACTGTTGTGGAAGTCTTGAAGATAGGATGTCTTTTCTCTCTGTTTTTTCCATCTCCTGGTTCATAACCTGGTACATAGTAGATACTAAATAAACATTTGAATGGATGATTACACGTGAATGAATTTAACTTGGTTGAAGAGATCTACATTTTAATTGATATGGTTTATTGATATCCTACATCTAGTTTTAAATTATATATTAAATCTTTCTACATTTGAGCAGTTTATTTGATTCTCTGAGAACATTTTATTTTTAGGTATTTAAACATGTTTAAAATACTGGCTTAAAAAATAAAATATAGAGGGGCGGAGCAAGATGGCGGAGGAGTAGGAGACCTGGATTTCGTCTCCTCTCAGGAATTCAGCTAGATAGGGATCAAACCATTATGAACACCTACGAACTCAACAGGAGATTGAAGAAAAGAATACCAACAACACTCTGAACAGAAAAGCAACCACTTTCTGGAAGGTAGGACGTGCGGAGAAGTGAATCCGAGGTGATATCCGGGAGGATAGACGGCGGGGGAGGGGCCTCTGTTGGCCGCTTCTGGCAAGTGATAGAGCCGCAGAGCACAAAATCAGAACTTTTAGAAGTCTGCTCCGCTGAGGGACGTCGCTCCAGTGGCTAAGCGGGGGGTGGAACCCTCGTGGGACAGTGTGGTCTCAGGACCCTCGGGGTCGCAGAAAGACCAGGGGTGCCTGAGTGTGGCAGAGCTCCCAGGTAACGGAGCAGGGAAGCCGGCTGAAGAGGCGGAGCCCAGGGGCGGGCTCTCAGCTCGGGGTCGCCATAAACCGTGATCCGCGGCACAGTCGGGCCCCTGCTCCTCCAGCAGGGACCCAAAAAGCAGCAGATCCGGGGAGACTCACCTTCTTCCCCCGGGAGGAGAGGTGCGGGAGTGCACTGCAGGGATCTGCTGGGTTTGGAGACTCCACACGGGGTCGGGTGCCAGAGATAGAAACGCTCGGTCACAGGCCGGGTGAGCACGGAGTGCGGCCGGAGACCGGGGAGACGGGAGTGACTTACGGCTTTTCTCTGGGGGCTCGGCTCCTCCGAGGCAGAGATTGGGAGGCTGCCATTTACACTCTCCGCCTCCAAAGCTGCACAGAAAGCTTGCAGGGAACAAAAGCTCCCAAGAGCAAACCCGAGCAGATTACTTAGCCCGGACCGGGCAAGGGCGGGGCAATTCCGCCTCCGGCAAAGACTTTTGGAAACCATGGCAACAGGCCCCTCCCCCAGAAGATCAGCGAGAACAGCCAGCCAAGACCAAGTCTACTGAGAACGGCAGAACTCCAGCGCTAGGGGAATAATGCACATAGAATTCATGGCTCTTTTACCATGATTCTTTAGTCTTTCAAAGTTAATTTTTTTTTTAACTGTCTTTTTTTTTTTTCGTTTGTTTGAATTTTTTTTTTCACTTTTTCAACCAACATCTTATCAATCCCTTTTTTAAAAAAATTTTTATTTTTCATTTATAGAGTCATATTCTATCCCTTCATAGTAGTTACCCATATTTTTGGCATATATATATAAGTTGTTCTCTCTTTAAAATTTTGAGATACTTTCTTCTAGTAGATCAAAATATACCCTAAATCTCTAGTGTATGTTTTTTTCTACTCCCCTGCCTGATCACACTCTCTCCCTTTTTTTTTCTCTTTTTTCAAACAACTTCTTATCAATTCCTTTTATAAAATTTTTTATAGTTTCCATCTTTACAGTCATATTCCATCCCTTCATCATATCAACCCTTATTTATGTACATATATAAGTTTTTCTTTCTTTAAAATTTTGGGAGGCACTTCCTTCTAACAGACCAAAATACACCCAATATCTAGTGTGTGGCACTGATCTATATACCAGCCTGATCATATTTGATCACATTCTGTTTTTTGTTTTGTTCTGTTTTTGTTTGTTTTTATCTTTTTCTTTTTCTTTTTTCTTTTTTTCTTTTTCTTTTTTCTCTCTCCCTTTCTTTTCCCACTGCTTCAGGTCTTTTCTGATTTGTTTAGAGTATATTATCTGGGGACGTTGTTACCCTGCTAGCATTTTGTTCTCTCATTAATCTATTCTCCTCTGGACAAAATGACAAGATGGAAAAAATCACCTCAACAAAAAGAACAAGGGGTAGTACCCAGTGCCAGGGACCTACTCAATATGGACGTTAGTACAATGTCAGATCTAGAGTTCAGAATCATCACTATAAAGATACTAGCTGGGCTTGAAAAAAGCATGGAAGTTATTAGAGAAACCCTTTCTGGAGAAAGAAAAGAACTAAAATCTAACCAAGTAGAAATCAAAAAGGCTATTAATGAGGTGCAATCAAATATGGGGGCGCTAACTGCTAGGATAAATGAGGCAGAAGGGAGAATCAGTGATATAGAAGACCAAATGATGGAAAATAAAGAAGCTGAGAAAAAGAGAGATAAACAACTACTGGATCACGAGGGCAGATTTCAAGAGATAAGCGATACCATAAGACGAAACAACATTAGAATAATTAGGATGCCAGAAGAAGAAGAAAGAGAGAGAGGGCACAAGGTATAATAGAGCAAAGTATAGCAGAGAACTTCCCTAATTTGGGGAAGGAAACAGGCATCAAAATCCAGGAAGCACAGAGAACCCCTCTCAAAATCAATAAAAATAGGTCAACCACCCGACATCTACTAGTAAAACTTACAAGTCTCAGAGACAAAGAGAAAATCCTGAAAGCAGCTCAGGAGAAGAGATATGTAACCTACAATGGTAGGAACATTAGATTGACAACAGACCTATCCACAGAGACCTGGCAGGCCAGAAAGGACTGGCAGGATATATTCAGAACTCTAAATGAGAAAAATATGCAGCCAAGAATACTATATCCAGCTAGGCTGTCATTGAAAATAGAAGGAGAGTTAAAAAGCTTCCAGGACAAACAAAAACTAAAGGAATTTGCAAACACGAAACCAGCCCTACAAGAAATCTTGAAAGGGGTCCTCTAACCAAAGAGAGAGCCTAAAAGTAACATAGACCAGAAAGGAACATAAACAATATACAGTAACAGTCACCTTACAGGCAATACAATGGCACTAAATTCATATCTTTCAATAGTTACCCTGAATGTAAATGGGCTCAATGCCCCAATCAAAAGACACAGGCTATCAGATTGGATTAAAAAACAAGACCCATCGATATGCTGTCTGCAAGAGACTCATTTTAGACACAAAAACACCCCTAGATTGAAAATGAAGGGGTGGAAAACCATTTACCATGCTAATGGACACCAAAAGAAAGCTGGGGTGGCAATCCTTATATCAGACAAATTAGATTTTAAACCAAAGACTGTAATAAGAGATGAGGAAGGACACTATATCCTACTTAAAGGGTCTATCCAACAAGAAGATCTAACAATTGTAAATATCTATGCTCCTAACATGGGAGCAGCCAATTATATAAGCCAATTAATAACAAAATCAAAGAAACACATTGACCACAATACAATAATAGGGGGAGACTTTAACACCCCCCTCATTGAAATGGACAGATTGTCTAAGCAAAAGATCAACAAGGAAATAAAGACTTTAAATGACACACTGGACCAAATGGACTTCACAGACATATTCAGAACATTCCATCCCAAAGCAACAGAATAAACATTCTCTAGTGCCCATAGATCATTCTCCAGAATAAATCACATCCTAGGTCACAAATCAGGTCTCAACCAGTACCAAAAGATTTGGATCATTCCCTGCCTATTTTCAGACCACAATGCTTTGAAACTAGAACTCAGTCACAAGAGGAAAGTCAGAAAGAACTCAAATACATGGAGGCTAAAGAGCATCCTACTAAAGAATGAATGGGTCAACCAGGAAATTAAAGAAGAATTAAATTCATGGAAACCAATGAAAATGAAAACACAACTATTCAAAATCTTTGGGATGCAGCAAAGGTAGTCCTAAGAGGAAAATATATAGCAATACAAGCCTTTCTCAAGAAACAAGAAAGGTCTCAAGTACACAACCTAACCCTACACCTAAAGGAGGTGGAGAAAGAACAGCAAATAAAGCCTAAACCCAGCAGGAGAAGAGAAATAATAAAGATCAGAGCAGAAATCAATGAAATAGAAACTAAAAGAACAGTAGAACAGATCAACAAAACTAGGAGCTGGTTCTTGGAAAGAATTAACAAGATTGATAAACCCCTGGCCAGACTTATCAAAAAGAAAAGAGAAATGACCCAAATCAACAAAATCATGAATGAAAGAGGAGAGATCACAACCAACACCAAAGAAATACAAACAATTATAAGAACATATTATGAGCAACTCTATGCCAGCAAATTAGGTAACCTGGAAGGAATGGATGCATTCCTTGAGAAGTATCAAGTACCAAAACTGAACCAGGAAGAAATAGAAAACCTGAACAGACATGTAACGACTAAGGAAATTGAAGCAGTCATCAAAAATCTCCCAACAAACAAAAGCCCAGGGCCAGATGGCTTCCCAGGGGAATTCTACCAAACATTTAAAGAAGAATTAATACCTATTCTTCTGAAACTGTTCCAAAAATTAGAAATGGAAGGAAAACTTCCGAACTCATTTTATGAGGCCACCATTATCTTGATCCCAAAACCAGACAAATACTCCATCAAAAAGGAGAATTACAGACCAATATCCCTGATGAACATGGATGCAAAAATCCTCACCAAAATACTAGCCAATAGGATCCAACAGTACATTAAAAGGATTATTCACCATGACCAAGTGGGTTTTATCCCTGGGCTGCAAGGTTGGTTCAACATCCACAAATCAATCAACATGGTACAATACATTAACAAAAGAAAGAACAAGAATCATATGATCCTCTCAATAGATGCAGAAAAAGCATTTGACAAAGTACAGCATCCTTTCTTGATCAAAACTCTTCAGAGTATAGGGATAGAGGGTACATACCTCAATATCATAAAAGCCATCTGTGAAAAACCTACAGCGAATATCATTCTCATGGGGAAAAACTGAGAGCTTTCCCCCTAAGGTCAGGAATGCGGCAGGGATGTCCACTATCACCACTGCTATTCAACATAGTATTAGAAGTCCTAGCCACAGCAATCAGACCACAAAAAGAAATAAAAGGCATCCGAACTGGCAAAGAAGTCAAACTCTCACTCTTTGCAGATGATATGATACTTTGTGTGGAAAACCCAAAAGACTCCACCCCAAAACTGCTAGAACTCATACAGGAATTCAGTAAAGTGGCAGGCTATAAAATCAATGCACAGAAGTCAGTGGCATTTCTATACACCAACAACAAGACAGAAGAAAGAGAAATTAAGGAGTCAATCCCATTTACAATTGCACCCAAAACCATAAGATACCTAGGCGTAAATCTAACCAAAGAGGCAAAGGATCTGTACTCAGAAAACTATAAAATACTCATGAAAGAAATTGAGGAAGACACAAAGAAATGGAAAAACGTTCCATGCTCATGGATTGGAAGAACAAATATTGTGAAGATGTCAATGCTACCTAGAGCAATCTACACATTCAATGCAATCCCCATCAAAATACCATCCACTTTTTTCAAAGAAATGGAACAAATCATCCTAAAATTTGTATGGAACCAGTAAAGACCCTGAATAGCCAGAGGAATGTTGAAAACCAAAGCTGGCAGCATCACAATTCCGGACTTCCAGCTCTATTCCAAAGCTGTCATCATCAAGACAGTATGGTACTGGCACAAAAACAAACACATAGATCAATGGAACAGAATAGAGAGCCCAGAAATGGCCCTCAACTCTATGGTCTACTAATCTTCAACAAAGCAGGAAAGAATGTCCAATGGAAAAAAGACAGTCTCTTCAACAAATGGTGTTGGGAAAACTGGACAGCCACATGCAGAAGAATGAAACTGGACCATTTCCTTACACCACACACAAAAACAGACTCCAAATGGTTGAAAGACCTCAATTTGAGACAGGAGTCCATCAAAATCCTAAAGGAGAACACAGGCAGCAAGCTCTTTGACCTCAGCTGCAGCAACTTCTTCCTAGAAAGATCGCCAAAGGCAAGGGAAGCAAGGGCAAAAATGAACTATTGGGACTTCATCAAGATAAAAAGCTTTTGCAAAGCAAAGGAAACAGTCAACAAAACCAAAAGACAACCGGCAGAATGGGAGAAGATATTTGCAAATGACATATCAGATAAAGGGCTAGTATCCAAAATCTATAAAGAACTTATTAAACTCAACACCAAAGAACAAAGAATCCAATCAAGAAATGGGCAGAAGACATGAACAGACATTTTTCCAAAGAAGACATCCAAATGAAAAAGTGCTCAATATCACTCAGCATCAGGGAAATCCAAATCAAAACCTCAATGAGATACCACCTCACACCAGTCAGAATGGCTAAAATTAGTAAGTCAGGAAATGACAGCTGTTGGTGGGGATGCGGAGAAAGGGGAACCCTCCTACGCTGTTGGTGGGAATGCAAGCTGGTTCAGCCACTCTGGAAAACAGCATGGAGGTTCCTCAAAAAGTTGAAAATAGAGCTACCATATGATCCAGCAATTGCACTACTGGGTATTTACCCCAAAGATACAAAAGTAGGGATCCAAAAGGGTACGTGCACCCCGATGTTTATAGCAGCAATGTCCACAATAGCCAAACTGTGGAAAGAGCCAAGATGTCCATTGATAGATGAATGGATAAAGAAGATGTGTTATATATATACAATGGAATATTATGCAGCCATCAAAAGGAATGAGATCTTGCCATTTGCAACGACATGGATGGAACTGGAGGGTATTATGCTGAGCGAAATAAGTCAAACAGACAGACATGTATCATATGACCTCACTAATATGAGGAATTCTTAATCTCCGGAAACAAACTGAGGGTTGCTGGAGTGGGGGTTGGGGTGGGAGGGATGGGGTGACTGGGTGATAGACACTGGGGAGGGTATGTGCTTTGGTAAGTGCTGTGAATTGTGCAAGACTGTTGAATCTCATATCTGTACCTCTGAAACAAATAATGCAATATATGTTAAGGAAAAAAAAAAAAAAGATAGCAGGAGGGGAAGAATGAAGGGGGGAAATTGGAGGGGTAGACGAACCATGAGAGACAATGGACTCCGAAAAACAAACTGAGGGTTCTAGAGGGGAGGGGGGTGGGAGGATGGCTTAGCCTGGTGATGCGTATTGAGGAGGGCACGTTCTGCATGGAGCACTGGGTGTTATGCACGAACAATGAATCATGGAACACTACATCTAAAACTAATGATGTAATTTATGGGGATTAACAGAACAATAAAAAAATTAAAAATATAGGGGCACCTGGGTGGCTCAGTTGGTTGAGCGACTGCCTTCGGCTCAGGTCATGATCCTGGAGTCCCGGGATCGAGTCCCGCATCGGGCTCCCTGCTCAGTGGGAAGCCTGCTTCTCCCTCTCCCACTCCCCCTGCTTCTGTTCCCTCTCTCACTGTGTCTTTCTCTGTCAAATAAATGAATAAAATCTTTAAAAAAAAAAAAAAAAAAAAAAAAAAATTAAAAATATATACTCTCCTGGTTCTAAACATTCACAATTTAATAATTAAAATTTTAATATTTTTATTGTTTCCATATATTTAAGGCTTACTGTGTAACAGAACCTATAGCTGGCTCTGATGTAGCTGGTATAAAGACCAAAGCAGAAAGGAAAGGAGATGAGTATATTATTAATGGTCAGAAGATGTGGATAACGAATGGAGGAAAAGCGAATTGGTATGTTGTTTAACACATCTCTGTGTATTGCTTATTAATTACTTCATATCAGAATCTTCCCTTTCTCCTTTATTATTAAATCACTACAGTTGAGGTAAGTTCTAGGGGCTCCTGGGTGGCTCAACTGCCTCCGGCTCAGGTTATGATCCCAGGGTCCTGGTATCGAGCCCCACGTCAGGCTCCCTGCTCAGCAGGGAGCCTGCTTCTCCCTCTCCCGCTCACCCTGTTTGTGCACTCGCGCTCTCTCTCTGTCAAATAAATAAAATCTTAAAAAATAAAATAAGGTACATAAAAGATCATAAGTAGTTCAGTTATTTTTAAAAACTATTTTTAAGCCTTGAATTATTTCTTCAAACTAACTTTTCAGAAGTTTAACTTGTAAAAGAATGAAACAAAAACACCTGCTCTTGTTGAATGTGAATCCATCTACTTAGCTTACTATCTCCACTGTATGTACCCCATACTAGCATCTCCTGGAACTGTTCCCTGTAGACTGAGGAAAAAGGAAAACCATTGGTATAGTACACTTCTCTGATTCTGAACAACAGACAAAGACAGTCTTAAAACTCAGATTGTCTTTTAGAGAAGACAGAATATTACTTTAGTAAAATCTAAAAGTCCAAACGTATAGGTCCAAAAATAATGACATGAAGTTCAACAAAGGTTCATAAAATCACCTGCATAAATACAAAATGTTGAAGAACCTATACCATGATTTGTGGAAAAAAGATGAAAGTACAATGGATACTTGTAGATTCAGTAGGAATCAACAGTGTGATGTACTGTCTTTAAGAAGGAAATGTACATGGAGCACTGGGTGTTATATGCAAACAATGAATCATGGAACACTACATCAAAAACTGATGTAATGTATGGTGATTAACATAACATAATAAAAAAAAGAATTAACATTCTACTAAATAAAAAAGGTAATTTCTTGCTGAAATGATAGAAGTATAATACAAATGAGGGGAAAAGTGGTAATGGTTCTGTATGATACATTTTAAGACCTGCATTGACAAAATGGAATAAATTCAGAAGCAAGTAAGTATCCTTCATTAAGAAGAGTCTAGAAAACATGTCCTGTGAAGAGTAAAGGAATTAAGTTTGTTTTTTTTGGAAGAGTTTGACAGTTTTGAAATAATGTCACACAGAAGCAAGAGCAGGCTTGTATATCTGCTTCAGGAAGCCAGTTTAGAATTAATGGGTCAAAGTTAGAAAAATGTAGACTATAGCTCAACATAAGAACAAGCTTTCCAAGAACAGTTCTGTCCAATGTGTGTTGAGTTGTCATGGAAAATATTGTATTTACCCATCACTGCAAGTATACAGATAGAGACTCCTAGGACAAGGATTCTCTGGTGATTGGAATAATGAACTAAATGGGTTGCAAAAATTCTGATTCAATATATATGTGTGCTCTGCAGGGCAGTTTTCTGGCAGATAAAGCATTATTCCTGGGAATGAGCCTACGAGGAAATTATTTGTTTATTTTAAACATACTTGTCAACCCCTTTATGACTGTCCGGTATTAAGGAGGGCTAGATCATTATCTTTAAGTAAGTCGTTATAGTATCAGAAAGTAATAGAAAAATGAAGAAACTATTAAAATTTAACAAGTTGAGAGAAATCTAACAGTGCAATTAGAAGCTTTCATAATTTTAAGAATTCATTAAGTATAACTCCCATGTAGTAAGACAAAATAGGTAATATATGAAACTAGAAAACAGTTTTTACTATTTTTTACTATTATCAAGCAAAATGTAGAGTGAATGATAATTTATTAGTGTTAAGCATAGAAAATTGTTGTTTAAGGAATTTTTTAAAAATTCTCATATCAGGCTATTTAGAACATGGGTTACATTTAGATGTTTTTGCATACCTCCTGTTTCATTTTAAAATCTTCCTGAGAAAAATTCTGGAGCGAAAACCTAGCAAACATTCATAATAATTCAACAATAACAAAAAACACTGATTTTGCTGCAAAAAGAGGACAGTAGGCAGAATATAGGGGTCTTTATCTCACTTATTATTCCTTTCACAGGCAGCCCTATTTGTTGTCCTTTTCCAGAAAGCTTGTCCGTTAAAGAATCAAACTGTTTTGGGAAAGAAAAAATGCCATTTCCAGTATGGGACATACTTTTCTTCTTATATTGTATAATTTGATACAAGGAATTTTTACTTAAAACTCAGACTACTAAAAAAAAGTTAAATACCATATTAGTTAAGAAGTGGACCTGGGTTAAAATACTAGCTCTGCCACATCATAACTATGTGACTTGGGCAAGCTTTTGAGCCTTCTGATTCTTCATTTCCTCATCTGTAAAACAGAATAATAATTGGGGTTGTTAGGAGGATTAAATGAGATAGCCATCACCATGTGTTAACTGTTGATGTCATTATCTCTGTCATCATCTCTATATCATATCTATATATATATTAGGTATTTCTTATTGGCTCGTTCTGATCCGGATCCAAAGGCTCCTGCTAATAAAGCCTTTACTGGATTTATTGTGGAAGCAGATACCCCAGGAGTGCAGATTGGAAGAAAGGTAAAATATAAATTCATCAGTGATTAAGGCCTCAAATACTATTTTAACTGTAAATTTCAAAATTATTATTTCACTTTCCTTTATTGAAAACATTTTCTTTGTAGTAAGTTGCAATAAAAATAAAGCTTTTTTTCCCCTTTTTTTTTCCTTCTAAGTTTTTATTTTAATTCCAGTTAACATACGGTGTTGTATTAGTTTCAGGTGTACAATATAGTGATTCAACACTTCCATACATCACCCTGTGCTCATCAAGACAGGTGTGCTCCTTAATCCCCATCACCTATTTAATGCATCCCTAAAAATAAAGCTATGTTTTGATGTTATCAGGTGAAATAGTTTATATATTATAGCTGAAGGTTTTATGTTGAGAATAATCCTTTTGATTCATTATTTGAAAAATTGGTTGTTCATAGTGCCAGTCTATTAGAGAATGCTAATAAATAGCTGTGAGGGATAATGAAGCAGAAATGAAGCTGTCATTTATGTGGCCTGCCCAATAATAGAGTTTTAGATATTTCAGAAGACTTTTCCACTCTTTTTCCTTCCTCACAGCAGCCTTTTAGGTAGGATAACTGGCATTATGCCCATTGTATTGATTAAAACAATACCCCAGATCATATAACAACACTAATATGTGCCTGAGGAAAGTATGAGAATGGTAAAGAGCCTTGAATGTGGGAAGGCGAGAAATTTTACTTAAAGAAGGAAAGGTAATGTAACGTATTTGAGAATGGTTGTAATTTGAATGCGTGGAGATGACTTAGCACTAGCATTTAAAGTAGACTAGAGTTTTAAGATTTAGCAAATCAAAGAAGGAAGAAATGAAGTCATTAAAGTCATTTTAGTGAGAGCTAAGGAAATAGGATTACGATTATAATTTTGGACTAGGAAGAGGAGACTCAGTTTTACAACTGTAAAACTCTTCTTTGAAAAATGAGTTTGTAAAAAAGAAAAACTAATAATGACCAAATGATGTCTATATTGAAGGAAAAGGAGAAATTATGGAAGTTTATTAATAGTTACCAAAGGTTACATAATCCTGTTTTATTAAAAGCCATCAGAATCTCTCTCTTGTACTCAAGCCTCTTGAAAATGGAAGCATTTACTAGAGTATGGAAGAGGGGTAACTTCTCTTTGAGGTCACAGAATATTAAAGGTGGAAGATGTATTATTTCAGTCTGTTTACTCAATGTTACATACTTAGAGGCAGAGTTGAGATCACTACTAAAGTATCCTAGGAACTTGCCCAATGTGGCTTCTAATCCTATTTTTCTATATTCTCTTTTAAGAGTAGATATTAAAGGTAGACTATACTTCACCAGTGAAATTATAGTGAGGTTGTTGTATATAACAAAATATAAGTTGTAAGAATGGATGTGCTTCTTCCAAGCAAATGGTTTGTTTTTATTTATGTTCTATTTGGGTCTCCTTTTTAGGGATGGTTGCTAGAAACTTAAGGCCAAATTTATGGCCATTTCTAGAAAGTGTAAAGGACCTAACAGTTTATACTGCTTTTAGTAGTAACACGCTTGTGATTTTATCATGCTATTTCTAGTCTCTTTTTTTCCCAATTTTCTCACTTAAAAAATATCTCTAATTCAATAAATATTTATTATTGAGTTCATCCTACATACTAGGCACTATTCTGATATTGGGGATACCATATGGATCAATACAAACAAAAATCCCTGCCCTTGGGGAACTTACATTCTAGTGACAGAGACAGATAATTATATTGTATATATTTAAACCTCTATAAATCTTTTTTTGAAATATATGGGCATTTTATAGATTTGTGAAATTTGATGTTTTTAAAATGTTTTGTGTTTTAGAAGTCATCTGGCTTGAGAGGAAGTACAGGAAGCATTTTGGTTTTAAATGTTTTAGTGTTTGGGGACGCCTGGGTGGCTCAGTCAGTTGAACATCAGACTCTTGGTTTCAGCTTGAGTCATGATCTCAGGGTCCTGGGATTGAGGCCCACCAGCTCCACACTCAGCGGGGAGTCTGCTCCCTCGCTCTTTCTCCCTCTCCCTTGCCCCCCCCTCCTCGGCTCGCAGGAGTGCAGGCTCGCTCTCTCTCTTTAAAATAAATCTTTAAAAAAAAATGTGGTAGTGTTGGTGGAGTGAGTCTGGAAAATAGGCTAGAGTAAACCGTTTTTTATAAACAGTGTTTTCTCATTATATTGAGTGAGGGTCTAAGGCACTAGAGCTCACTGACTTATAAAGGCAAAAAAAAAAAAAAGATGTTGCTTCTTTCTTGGTAAAACTATATATTATTGTTACCATTTCTTCAGTCCTAGAGGCAGACTATGACTATTAATTAAGGCAAGCAAGTTAGAGAGTTTGTTTACAGCTCTGTGCTCCCATTTCCTCTGCTTCTCACGCTGTTGATTAAAAACAAGATTAAAATTTTTTTCCTTAAGGAGAAGAGTCACCATATCTGCAACTTCCTCCCAAATAATTCAGCAAATAATGCTAATAGTTAACACACACAAAGGACAGAAATAAAGCCAATGTGACAAAATAATTGGTGAATTGAAGTAAAGGGTACGTAGGTATTTGTTGTATTACTCTGATAGCTCCTCTGTTCATTTGAAAAATTTCAAAATGAAAAGTTGAATATAGCTACTTTGGCAGTTTCTTATAAAATTAAATATGCACTTACCACATACCCAGCACTCCTAGATATTTATCCAAGAGAAATGAAAACAAAGGCCTCTACACAAGTGTTTATAGCAACTTTATATAACTGCTAAAAACTGGAGTGACGGGAATGTCTGTCAGTGGTGAATAGGTAATGGGTATATGGTGCATCCCTATAGTGGAATACTACTCAGCAGTAAAAGAAAGAAATTACTGAGCAGTAGCAATATAGGTAGATCTCAAAAGCACTCTGCTAAGTGAAAAGTTAGACACAGAAGGCACGTATTACTTGTTATTCTCATTCTACTTAACATGACATTCTGGAAAAGGAAAAATTAACGGACTGAAGTCAGATCAGTGGTTGCTTCAGGTTGGGAGTAAAGTAAGGGAGTTGACTTAAAAGGGGCACAAGTGAGTTATTGGGGGTGCAGAAATATTCTGTATCTTGATTGTGGTAGTGGTTCCACACATATATTTGTCAAAACTGTTAGAGATTTATATGTAAAGAGGGTGAATTTTTCTGTATGTAAATTCCACTTCAGTAAACCTAATTTTAAGAAAGAGTTGGTACATTATTTTGCTAGCTCCATTAAGCTAAATTAAACATCCTAAATCAAAGTATGTTTGCTAAATGCTTTTCCTGACATTCATGGTAAAAAAGATAGTCTTCACACATATGAAATTTGTCTTTGTAGTGTAATATGTGCATATAGACCTTTAGACTATTGTTGGTTTCAAAGTTTGTGAAACATTGTTTTAGACTAGGGGTTGACAAACTTGTTTTGTAAAGATCCAGTTTATAACTATTTTAAATTTTGAGGGCACAAGATTTCTGTCCCTAACTGCTCGGTTCTGCTATTGTAGCAAGAAAGTAGCCATAGATGATATATAAACAAATAGGTATTGACTGTAGTCCAATAAAACTTTCTTTACAAAACAGGTATTAGAAGCCATCGTTTGTCGACCCGTTTTAGATAATTGCAGAAAATCCTAAAACAGAGGTTAAAGCAAAATTCATGTTAGCTCAGAAAGTGTTCCTTAATATGTATTGTTTTCCTTATTAGGAATTAAATATGGGTCAGCGATGTTCAGATACAAGAGGAATTGTCTTTGAGGATGTGAGAGTGCCTAAAGAAAATGTTTTAATTGGTGAGGGAGCTGGTTTCAAAATTGCAATGGGAGCTTTTGATAAAACCAGACCTCCAGTAAGTAATATCAATGACTTGACAATCTTTAGAGGATCTTTTATTTATTACGTTGAGTAGTTTTATTTTAACATGGTATATTTTGTATGTATTTCTATTTTTTCTTTTTTTGGGGTGTGTATTTCCTTTTTAATACCTACTTTTATTAAGGACGGAGAGATACTGTCATTTTTCTTTATTTTTTTAGAATTCTTCAACTGTCTTGCTGCCTGTTACAGAAATTGTTTTAGCAAATATAAAATTACTGTAGTCACTGCTAGGTTGTTAGAGGCAGTCCTTACTTGATCATTCCTGCTGATATGTGCTCATTTCCTCTTCCCTTAGTCATTAGGAATATTTCCCCGAAGAAGCTTTCCCTTGTTAAACAGAAGGAATGACTTTCTAGGCTATGATCCTCTGCCTCACAAATGCCTTTAATTCATAAAAAATATAAATTGAAATGCTTGTTCTCCCCCACCCCTTCTTTTGTGGCCTGAAGGTATAGGTCATCTGTTTATATAATCCTTAACTTAGAATTTTAGGCAAACAGTCATTGAACTGTGTTTTAAAGACAACATTAACTTATGCTTTGTAAAATGTTAAAATACTAGGTAGCAGCTGGTGCTGTGGGGCTAGCACAAAGAGCTTTGGATGAAGCTACCAAGTATGCCCTGGAGAGGAAAACTTTTGGAAAGCCGCTTGTAGAGGTAATTTTAATACTGTACTTGCTGTGCTCAAATCATACTCAGATTAAAATCCAGAGTCTTTACAGTGGACTTCTGTCAGCCACACTGGCCTTTTGCTGTTGTCTTCACCTTTACTCCCCACCCGCCAAATAATCCACTTCCTCATTCATTTCACTAACGAACCTACCTTCGTCACCCAATGTAAAATAACACCTCCAACACTCTATATACTAATCCCACTTGGGTTTTTTTTTTTCCATAGTTCTTAACACCACTCAACATTATATCATGTTTGTGTTTGTTTATTGTAAGTCTCTCCTTACTCTCCCATCTGAATGTAAGTGCCATACAGGCTATGAATTTCTGTTTTGGTAACCCTTATACTCCTAGCACTTAGAATACGTTTCCATTATGAACTTGTTTCATCCATTCAACAGATAGTAACTGAACACCTACTATATTAAAATACTAATAATCGGATATGTTCTCTGTTCCAAGCACTGTCCTAGGGGTTTTACATGTATTAACTCATTTAATCTTCACATTACTGTGGAGTGGGGACTCTTAGTCCCATTTATTGCATGTAAAACATTAGGTCCGCCTAATATATGATGAAACCAAGACTTGAACCCAGGTAGTCACTTAAAGAGTCTGTCCTTTTGCATACTTCATGTTCTATTTCCAGGAATAGAAAAGAAGTTCGGTGTAGGCTCTGTACTCAGGAACCTTTAACTTTGCTATGGAGATAGGATACATATCTTAAGACAAAGATACGTATCTTAAGACAAATATTAAGAAATAATATAGAGCCATATAAGATTAAGTCCCTAAGTGAGAGCTTATAGACCTGGTTAGAGAAACCAAAAGGAGAAACTGTCATGGGTGGGCTAGAGACATTACAGGGATTGTGAACTATGTTTAGAACAGGATTTCTCAAAACATGGGCTGAAAAGAAACTGAATGAGACTCACTGGGATTTTTTTATCACAATCTCATGGGAGAAGCATGGACATCTTATACCAGGTTGCCAAAGCTGTGGTGGTACGAGGGCTTCTATTTATTGCCAGTGGGAATATAATTCACTATAACTTTTATGAACCACATTTTGGCAATATATCAAAAGTGGTTTTTCTACAACTGTATTTCACATGTGTCTTTCAGGTTTACTCCCATATGTGCAATATGACATATCTATAGCTTATTCATTTCAGCATTGTGTAGAAACAGCCAAATACAGAAACAACCAATATGTTGATCATCCATACAGTGGAATATTTTGCAGCTATAAAAAAGTATAAAGAAGTTCTTTATATATTACCATAGAAAGCCCTCACATTTATTGATAAGCAAAGCAAAATGAAGAACCATCAACATGGTAGGCCAGCATATTTGTAAAAAAGGAAGAGACTATAGATGTATTTGCTTATGTATGTTTATAATATCTCTGAGAAGATGAAAAACAGTTAACTTGGTTACCTCCAGGAAGGGGAATTAAATGGGGTTGGGGACAGCAGGGATGATAGGAGGAAAGTTTGAACTTCAAACTGGTGGATGAATTATCTATTCAAAAAATAGAGTGAAATAAAAAAAAAAAGAAAAAAAAATAGAGTGAAAACTAAAACAAAACAATTTGAAAGAATCATTGGCTTAGAAGAATGGGCACAATCAGGCAGGTAGAAATAAGGGAGGAGGGCTCCTGGGTGGCTCAGTCGTTGAGCGTCTGCCTTCAGCTCAGGTCATGATCCCAGGGTCCTGGGATCGAGCCCCACATCGGGCTCCCTGCTCTGTGGGAAGCCTGCTTCTCCCTCCCCCACTCCCCCTGCTTGTGTTCCCTCTCTCGCTGTGTCTTTCTCTGTCAAATAAATAAAATCTTAAAAAAAAAAAAGAAAGAAGGGAGGATATTACTCTCCTTGTTCCACATAGAAATTATTTATATTGGGTAATAATTGTCTCCTCTTAAGACATAATTATTATGCTACTCTCAAGCAACTTGTCACATTCTAAAGTATTGTGCGTTTTTTTTTAAATACAGTAAATATATGAAATTGAACAGCTCAGTTTTTTGTTTTATGTGACCTTTGGTGCATATTAGTCTGTATACAGTCATAACTTGTGTGGTTTTTATTACCTTTTAGTCTTCAAAACACATTTTGATGTTGTCTATGATAGAAAGCATCTTTTTAATAATTTTAATATTCTTGTTTCTAAATGCCTATAGGCCTTCTTTTAATGTGTATGATTTTAAAGCATATGTTCCATTCCATCTTCATTGTAGAATAATTTATGTGATACAGTATAAGTAAAATTAAATAATAAAATTGCTTGGGGGTGGAGCAAGATGGTGGAGGAGTAGGAGACCTGGATTTTGTCTGGTCTCAGGAATTCAGCTGGATAGGGATCAAACCATTCTGAACACCTACGAACTCAACAGGAGATTAAAGAAAAGAATAGAAACAACTCTGAATAGAAAAGCAACCACTTTCTGGAAAGTAGAACGTACAGAGAAGTGAATCCAAGGTGATATTCCTACACTGTTGATGGGAATGCAAGCTGGTGCAGCCACTCTGGAAAACAGTATGGAGTTTCCTTAAAAATTTGACAATAGAGCTACCATATGATCCAGCAATTGCACTACTGGGTATTTACCCCAAAGATACAAATGTAGGGATCCGAAGGGGTACATGCACCCCAATGTTTATAGCAGCAATGTCCACAATAGCCAAACTGTGGAAAGAGCCAAGATGTCCATCGACAGATGAATGGATAAAGAAGATGTGGTATATGGGCGCCTGGGTGGCTCAGTTGGTTAAGTGACTGCCTTCAGCTCAGGTCATGATCCCACAGTCCTGGGATCAAGTCCTGCATCAGGCTCCCTGCTCTGCGAGGAGCCTGCTTCTCCCTCTCCCACTCCCCCTGCTTGTGTTCCCTCTCTTGCTGTGTCTCTCTCTGTCAAATAAATAAATAAAATCTTTAAAAAAAAAAAAAAAGAAGAAGAAGATGTGGTATATTATATACAATGGAATATTATGCAGCAAAAGGAATGAGATCTTGCCATTTGCAACGATGTGGATGGAACTGGAGGGTGTTACGCTGAGTGAAATAAGTCGATCAGAGAAAGACATGTATCATATGACCTCACTGATAGGAGGAATTCTTAATCTCTGGAAACAAACTGAGGGTTGCTGGAGTGGGGGGTGGGGTGGGAGGGATGGGGTGGCTGGGTGATAGACACTGAGGAGGGTATGTGCTATGGTGAGCACTGTGAATTGTGCAAGACTGTTGAATCTCAGATCTGCACCTCTGAAACAAATAATGCAATATATGTTAAGAAAAAAAAAAAGAAGAAGATAGCAGGAGGGGAAGAATGAAGGGGGGGAAATCGGAGGGGGAGACGAACCATGAGAGACGATGGACTCTGAAAAAGAAACAGGGTTCTAGAGGGGAGGGGGGTGGGAGGATGGGTTAGCCTGGTGATGGGTATTAAAGAGGGCATGTTCTGCGTGGAGCATTGGGTGTTATGCACAAACAATGAATCATGGAACACTACATCAAAAACTAATGATGGTGATTAACATAACAATAAAAATTTTTTAAAACCTCCATAATCCCATTGTCCAGAGATAATTACAGTGACTATTTTGCTCCATATCCTTTTTTTTTATGCATATATTTTTCCAAAGCTGTAACCATACTATGTATTTGAAATTTTCACTTACCCATACATGGTGAACATATTTCTATCATATAACATTTTGGCCGTACAACTGATAGAAGACTTACTGTCTTTTATTGAAAGTGTTTGGTTTATGTCTCCTCTTTGATTATGAACTTCTAGAGGGAGGATAAGAAGCATTTTTATTTGTCCTTGTCATCGTGCTTACTTTCCTCTGTCAGCATCTGATACAGTATGACATTATTTTTCACTGTATCTATCTATAATAATTTTCTTTAAAAAGTCCCAGTAGGGTCATCTGGCTAGCTTAGTCGGTAGAGCATGTAACTCTTGATCTTGCAGCTGTGAGTTTGAGCCCCACATTGGGCATAGAGTTTACTTAAAAATACATACATACATACATTAAAAAAAAAAGTCCCAGGAGGGTACATATAATTTTTATGGTATTTTTGCCAAAAATGCATAACTTCATTCCAGCTCTGAGAAACATCACACAAACCCGAATTGAGGGACATTCTACAAAAAAAATAACCACTCAGTGTTCTTCAGAAGTGCTCAGGTCATAAAAGACAAGGAAAAACTGAAGAATCTAACAGCCTGGGGAAGACTTAAGAAGAAAAATACAGTTGAAATCTTGGATGGGATCTTTGAACAGAAAAAGGACATGAGTGGAAAACTTGGCCAAATTTGAATAAAGTTCATAGTTTAGTTGATAATACTGTAGTAATGTTAACGTCCTATTTTTGATCATTATACTGTGGTTATGTAATATGTTAACTTGGAGGTAGCAGAGTGTAACTTTTAAGTCTAAAATTAGTTTTAAAGTTTAAAAAAAGTTCTAGGAGAAAAACTTTTAAAAAGTTAATAGATATCCTTAAACTTTTTTCTTTTTAATTCTAGCACCAAGGAATAGCATTTTTGCTGGCTGAAATGGCAATGAAAGTTGAACTAGCTAGACTGAGTTACCAGAGAGCAGCTTGGGAGATTGATTCTGGTCGCCGAAATACCTACTATGCCTCTATAGCAAAGGCATTTGCTGCAGATACTGCAAATCAATTAGCTACTGATGCTGTGCAGATTTTTGGAGGCAATGGATTTAATACAGAATATCCTGTAGAAAAACTAATGAGGGATGCTAAGATCTATCAGGTAAGGTTAAAAATGATTTTTGTTGTTTTTTAGGTAAAAGAATATTCATAGATGGCAGATTTCTAATTATTTAGGGATTTCATGCCATTAGGAATAATAAACTATCATAGGGGCGCCTGGGTGGCTCAGTCAGTTAAGTGTCCGACTCTTGTTTCAGCTCAGGTCATGCTCTCGGGGTCATGGGATCAAGCCCCACATTGGGCTCCACTCAGGGCGTGGAGTCTACTTGAGATTCTCTCTCTCTTCCTCTCCCTCTGCCCCTCCTCCCCCCTCATGTGCTCTCTAAATAAATAAATCTTAAAAAATAATAAACTATCATAAATGGCTATAAACCAGTTTTTAAAACTAATTAACACAGAAGAATGTTACCTTTAAGTATATGCCTTAAGAGAGAATAGGCTAATAAAGTAAATGGTACAGATATGTACATATATGTCTGGATCAGCCATCTTTGAGTCTTAACATCCTAGCCAATTGTGATCCACCCTTTGCTCTCCTAAAAGTATGCATATCATTTAAAATAAATTATTTTATTTTGAATCTTGCTTGACAACTGTTGAATTAATTGAAACCATATTTGGGGGCGCCTGGGTGGCTCAGTTGGTTAAGCGGCTGCCTTTGGCTCAGGTGATGATCCCAGGGTCCTGGGATTGAGCCTCACATCGGGCTCCTTGCTCATTGGGGAGCCTGCTTCTCCCCTGCCTGCCATTCCCCCTGCTTGTGCTTGCTCCCTCTCTCTCTCTGTCAAATAAATAAAATCTTTAAAAAAAACCCCAAAAAACCATATTTGGGAGTAAAACAACATGAAGAGATAGTGATAAAGTGATAGTAACCATTTGGTAGTAATAAATTGCTAGGGTTAGAGGTTTAAACTGGAAGTAAGGACTGGCTACTAGGAATGTCTAAGTTAAAACCAAATCCTTCCAGCATCTTTTTCTTTAGCAACTCTGTTCCTTAGTCAGCAAGAGAGAAAAACAGGGGTAAGAGTAAAAATGGAAAATGACTGAAGATGACAACTAGCTAAAAACAGTTCAGAAAAGTTGGATAAATATTTTTGCAACATTAAACTAGATTTCCCAAACTTTTTGAAATGTTGATATCCTTTGATTTAAGACTCTCTCCCAAAATTTTGGTAAATGACTTTTTATAATTTAATCTTTAGAGAATTATATTTTCATGGTTTTACAAAATCAGGTTTTGGAATCTCTGTGGATTACAGACCCTATATATGGCTTGATTCAGCTTGGTATTACAGTGGACCTTATAGTACTGTCCAAAATACTGAGTAAGTTGAAGTATTTATGAAGATATTTCATCTACATGTATTCTTTTTTCTTGCAGATTTATGAAGGAACAGCACAAATTCAAAGACTTATTATAGCCCGTGAACACATTGGCAGGTATAAAAATTAAAGAGATAGCTATAGAAACATAATTAATTGTTGAGTGATTAGAATACAATCCACTGTTTAAGCTCCAAAGAAGAGAAAGAGCTTTAAGATTTTTTCTGGTAAAACTTTAAAATAAGTACTGTTAACTAAACCCATGCAGCTGATTCTAATACTAGTTTTCCACTTTTGTTTAACTTTATGACTTGCTTTTCCTCAAAAAGATTAGGTTTCATTAAAATTATGTGTTACCTTTAGTACTACTGTACTTGAATTACATTAACCTAGAAAAGTACATTTGTTTTGTTAGGTTAACCACTTAAAGTAACAGAAGTTCTTTGGATTTCAGTATTTTTCCAATGACATTTTTGAAAAGTGGGCTTATAAAAGTATTCAGAATGTTCCAAAATTTACATTGAGGGGGGCACCTGGGTGGCTCAGTCATTAAGCGTCTGCCTTCAGCTCAGGTCATGATCCCAGGGTCCTGGGATCGAGCCCCGCATCGGGCTCCCTGCTCCGCGGGAAGCCTGCTTCTCCCTCTACCACTCCCCCTGCTTGTGTTCCCTCTCTCGCTGTGTCTCTCTCTGTCAAATAAATAAAATCTTAAAAAAAAAAAAAAATTTACATTGAAGAAGCATTATAGGATTTGGATGCCATCATATAACTTGGTAGTGTCTTTGTAGACTTAATGGTATTATATTGGGGGAGTTCATTTTGCTACAATTTGGAAAGCATTTGTTTTCAGTTTTGTACAATAATACTCAAAAATTTGATGTTCATATTCTCCCACCATACAATGACCAGAAGTTACTGAAAATCTTGTTTAATTCTGAATCTACATTTCACTTGCCTTATTTAGAAATAAATCAATAAAATTTGCCTTCAAATATTTTTACATGAGTCCTGGTATCTGGGTAGGCTTTGGTCTATTGTATACATCTCATTTCACGTGCATACATTATAAAAATAAATAAAAATTTTCAGTGCCAATTAGTATATCTGTTTGTATTCTTTCCAGGAAGTTTTATTACTTCATGTAATAGTGTATGCTTGATTTATTTACTGTGATGAAAAAAAGTCATGTTCTGATTTTGAACTGCATGAAGTTACCTTCTTATTTTTCACTAGATGATATTATTAGACATCTCAAAAAATATAAATATAAAATAATATAAGAAACAAAGTTTGTGAATTTAATATTTATTTGTAATCTTAAACATCAAATACTGCCAAAATATGTTATACTAAATGGTGTTTCTGACACCATTTTGATTTTGACACCAACTGGGCATCCTATGGTTCAATCCTATTCTGACATTAACTCCAAATCGTTAGCATCGGATTCCACAGGTTTAAGGGCTCAGTCCCACCAGACAACACTCAACTTCAGGTACCAGTCACAAGTGCTGGGTCCCCAGGCTATCCCAAAACAACAATTATAAGAATACTAGCTGGGCTTGAGAAAAGCAAAGAAGACACTAGAGAATCTCTTAATGCAGAGATAAAATAACTAAAAACTAGTCAGGTCAAAATAAGAAATTCCATAACCAAGATGCAAAACTGACGATGCAATGATGAGGATGAATGAATCAGTGACATAGAAGATAAAATTATGGAAAATAATGAGGCTGAAAAGAAGGAAAGAAAGATTGGATCACATATGTTGACTTAGGAAACTCAGCAACTCCTTAAAGCATAACAACGTTCATACCATAGGAGTCCCAGAAGAAGAGAGAAAAAGGGCAGAAGATTTATTTGGGCAAATTATAGCTGAAAACTTCCCCAATCTGGGGAAGGAAACAGACATCGAAATCCAAGAAGCACAGAGAACGCCCATTAAATTCACCAAAAGGCAGCCATCCCCAAGACCTATCATAGTCACATAAAATACACAGACAAGGAAAGAATTCTGAAAGCAGCAAGGGGAAAGAAATCCCTAACCTGCAAGGGAGGATAGATCAGGGTTGCAGCAGATCTGTCCACAGAGACTTGGCAGGCCAGAAGAGAATGGCAGGATATATTCAACGTGCTTAATGGGAAAAATTTGCAGTCAATAATACTTTATCCAGCAACACTGTCATTCAGAATAGAGGGAGAGATAAAGAATTTCCCAGACAAAAACCAAAGGAGTTCATGACCACTAAACCAGCCCTGCAAGAAATATTAAAGGGGGCTCTTTGAGTGGGGGAAAAAAAAAACACCAAAAGCAACAAAGACTAGAAAGGAACAGAGAACACCACCAAAAATAACCAACCTTACAGGTAATACATGGCACTAAATTCATATCTATCAATCAGTAATCACCCAGTGTAGATGGACTACATGCTCCAATCAAAAGAAATAGGGTATCACAAGATAAAAAAACACAAGACCCATCTATATGTGGCCTAAAAGAAACTCATTTTAGATCTAAAGTCACCTGCAGATTGAAAGTGAGCAGATGGAAAAAACTTCATCATGTAAATGGACATCAAAAGAAAGTTGGAGTAGCCATACTTGTTTTCAGCCAAACTAGATTTTTAATCTAAAGACTGTAACAAGAGATGAAGAAAATCATAATTAAGGGGTCAACACATCAAGAAGATCTAACAATTATAAATATTATTCCCCCAACTTGGGAGCACCCAAATATATAAATCAATAACAAACATAAAGGGGCACCTGGGTGGCTCAGGCATTAAGCGTCTGCCCTCAGCTCAGGTCATGATCCCAGAGTCCTGGGATCAAGCCCCGCATTGGGCTCCCTGCTCAGGGGGAAGCCTGCTTCAATCTCTTACACTCCCCTGCTTGTGTTCCCTCTCTTGCTGTGTCTCTGTCAAATAAATAACATCTTAAAAAAAAAAGTAACAAACTCATTGATGATAATATAATAATAGCACCCCTACATATCTTCTAAGCAAAAAAAAAAAAAAAATCAAAAAGGAAACAATGGCTTTGAATGACACACTGGACACATGAACTTAACAAATATATTCAGAACATTTCATCCTAAAGCAGTATAATACATATTCTTTTTAAGTGCAGATGGGATATTCTCCAGATTAGCCCACAATAACTACAAAAGGATTGAGATCATACCATGCATATTTTCAGACTACAACACTATGAAACTTGAAGTCAACCACAAGAAAAAATTTGGAAAGACCACAAATACATGGAGATTAAAGAACATCCTACTAAAGAATGGATGGGTTAATCAGGAAATTAAAGACAAAACAAAAAAATACATGGAAGCAAATGAAAATGAAAACACAACAACCCAAAACCTTTGGGATACAGCAAAGGTGATCCTAAGAGGGAAATATATTGTCATACAAGCCTACCTCAAGAAGCAAGTCTCAAATATACAACCTAACCTTACACCTAAAGGAGCTAGCAAAGGAACAGCAAATAAAGCCTAAAACCAGCAGAAGAAGGGAAATAATAAAAATTAGAACAGAAATAAACAATATAGAAGCCAAAAAAAAAAAAAAAAAAGGCAAAGCAAAGCAAAAACAGTAGAACAGACCAATGAAAATAAAAGCTGGTTCTTTGAAAAAAATTAATAAAACTGATAAAACCCTAGCCAGGCTTATCAAAAAGAAAAGATCACAAATGAATAGGTGAAATAAATAAAATCACAACAAAAGAGGAGAGATCACAACCAACACCCCAGAAATACAATTATAGGAGAATATGAAAAATTGTATGCTAACAAACTGAGCAATCTAGAAGAAAGGGACTAATTCCTAGAAACATACAAACTACCAAAACTGAAACAGGAAGAAATAGAAAATTTGAACAGACCCATAACCAGCAATGTTATCAAATCTGTAATCAAAAATCTCCCAACAAACAAAAACCCAGGGCCAGATGGCTTTCCAGGGGAATTTTACCAGACCTTTTTTTTTTTCTTTTTCTTTTTTCTTTTCTTTTCTTTTTTTTCCTTAGTAGGTTCCACACCTAAACTGCAGCCCAATGTGGGGCTCAAACTCACAACCCTGAGATGAAGACCAGAGCCAAGACTAATAAAAGTCGGACACCCAACTGAGTGAGCCACCTGGGTGCCCCTCTACCAGACATTTAAAGAAGAGTTAATACTTATTCTCAAACTGATCCAAAAATAGAAATGGAAGGAAAACTTTCAAACTCATTCTAGAAGTCCAGCATTACCTTGATTCCAAAACCAGACAAAGACCCCACTATAAACGAGAATTACAGACCAATATCCCTGATGAACATGCATGCAAAAATTCTCAACAAGATACTAGCAAATCGAATTCAACAGTACATTAAAAGGATTATTCACCATGATCAAGTGGGATTTATTCCTGGCTTCAGGGGTGGTTCAATATTCGCAAATCAATCAACATGATACATCACATTAAAAGAAAGAATAAGAACCATATGATCCTCTCAATAGATGCAGAAAAAGCATTTGACAAAATACAGCATCCTTTCTTAATTAAAAACCCTCAACAAAGTAGGTATAGTTGGAACACACCTCAACATCATAAAGGCCATATATATAAACCCACAGCTAATATCATCCTCAGTGGACAAAAATAGCTTTTCCTCAATGGTCAGGAACAAGACAGGGATGTCCACTCTATTACTATGTAACATAGTACTGGAAGTCTTAGCCTCAGCAATTAGACAACAAAAAGAAATAAAAGCCATCCAAATCAGGAAGGAAGAAGTCAAATTTTCACTATCTGCAGAGGACATGATACTCTATGTAGAAAACCTGAAACACTCCACCAAAAAAAAAAATGCTAGAAGTAATACATGAATTCAGCAAAGTCACAGGATATAAAATCAGCATACAGAAGAAATATGTTGCTTGTCTATACACCAATAATGAAGGAACAGAAAAAGAAATCAAGGAATTGATTCCATTTACAATTGCACCAAAACCTAATCAAAGTGATCCATACTCTGAAAACTATAGAAAACTTATAAAAGAAATTGAAGAGGACACAAAAAATGGAAAAACAAACATTCCATGCTCATGGATTGGAATAACAATTACTGTTAAAATGTCTATACTACCCAAAGCAATCTACACATTTAATGCAATCCCTATCAAAATGCCACCAGCAGTTTTCACAGAGCTAGAACAAACAATCCTAAAATTTTCATGGAACCACAAAAGAAAAAGAAAAAGCAAAGCTGGAGACATCACAATTCCAGACTTCAAGCTATATTACAAAGCTGTAATTATCAAGACAGTGTGGTACTGACGCAAAAACAGACACATGGATCAACGGAACAGACTAGAAAACCCAGAAGTAGACCTACAACTATATGGTCAACTAATCTTTAACAAAGCAGAAACAAAATCCAATG